CGTCCCGCGCCCGCCGCCTGTCCTGCGCCGCCGCCCCGCGCGAGGCGCCACGGTTACATCGCCAACCGCCCTCTCCGCGGGGAGGCTCAGCGGCCTCGCAATGCTGTTTCTCTTGCTGATCCTCTCAGGCCTAGGCCGGCTGACCTCCGCGGACCACTGTAAGTGGGGAACCGGCCCGGTGAGGGCGGCCAGGCGCAGTGTCCCTGGACGAGGCCAGTGTCGCCCCTGTTGCTGCAGAACCTCGGGCCAGGGGGGGATTGCCCCGCGTGCTGCTGCCAGAGCCGCCTGGTTTCAGGGTCCTGGCGCGCCGGGTGGTTGGAGGGCTCAGAGCAGGCCTGGGCCAGCTGGTCCTCACTCACCTGTCTCTGCGCTGGCGGGAGAGGGCGCCCTGCTCCTTGCGTGGTGGGGACCCAGCGAGCTGGATGGGCCCTGGGACCAGCCCTTCTTCACCTAGTCAGGGCTGAGGTGGGCGAGGCCCAAGTGCCTGTGCGCGGTGGTGGGTGATGCTCTCGCGGGAGGAGTGTCTTCCTGGAATCGCACCAAGTATGCGTGTGTGAGTGTGAGTGTGCGTGTGCGTGCGCGTGCGCGTGCGCGCACGGTGGGGCCTGGGGGTTCAGAGCGACGTGATAGGAGAGGTCATGTCAGCGAAGAGGAAGGATGCTCTGCACCCTGGGAATGCTCACACATGTGTTTTTTTACTGCAGACTCTGAAGCACCTCATCTGCAACTTACAGTGCCACGGAAGCTGCGAACCAACACCAATAATGGGGATCTGTCAGAAACACATGTAATTAAGAAATGACTTTTTTTTTTTTTTTTTAAATGAGTAATTCTATTTTTCCTGGACTGCATGACACAAGTTAATTCATGAATAGCCCTTTGTGAAAAATTGTGCTCTAATTGCTGTGTTTAAGAGCCATTTTGTCTGAATGAGAACGTGTGTTGATTGTCGTAATTTGTCAAGTGATATGTGAACATTATGACACTATAAAGATACTCGGTGATCTGACAGGAATTCAAGGATTGGAACCTCAGTAGCAGTGGCAGAGAGGAACATTGAATTGCCAGCTGGAAAACTATTAGGCACTGATATGAGGCAGGTGTTCCACACTGAATGCTCTACCTGATTGTCTCACTTTATGGCACCAGAAAAATATCTAGTGATTGTGTGTTTATAAAAGCTACTACACTAAAATCTAAGTATCCAGAGAGGCTAAAGTTTTAGGAAAGTTTAGCATATACTGGGATAATGGAAACAAAAAGAAAACATGAGTATCCACAATAATAACAGAAAAAGAAAGCATTTACTACACTCAAACAAACTTAATACACTCAACACACACAACATTATGAGGGATAAGCATTATTAAAATATTAAATTAACTAGGAACAGATAACAATTATAAATTTCTACAAATGTAATAAATGCCCTCAGCACATATAAAATAAAAACTGATAGAGGGAGAAATTTTCGAATCCATTTCATAGTGAGTCCATAGAACGTTTTCCTCTTAGCATGATACCCTCTTAAGTCCATCCATGTTGTCACAAATGGTAAGATTTCATTCTTTTTGATGGCTGAGTAATATTCCAGTGCCTCCCAAATCATACGCATTTCATGATGCGTTTTCATGATGCATTTCATGATGCGTTTTGTGACTATATTTGTATATATAAAAATTATGTAGAAAAACAATAGATTTGAGTACTACTTCTTTTAGTGTCCTATCTTTATTTCATTGTTTGAGAATAAGCCCTGTATAACTTGTCTTCTACGTTGTGGAAAATAGATAATGTGCGAAACCCTGGAAATTGCAACTTGCTTTTATCTTTCAGAAAGCATCTCTAAATTTTAGATGGATATGTAAAATTAAAAAATAAGTTATTTCATCAAAGTAGATCAAAAGGTAAAATAAAATAGTGAAAACATCAAAAGTAAGTTGTTGCAACTATACTAATATCAGAGTAGAATTTAAAGTAAGAAGCACTTCTAGAAGTAAAAGCTACGTTATTATTGATAAAAGAATCAGTTTATCGTGAAGATATCAACATGTTAAATCTGTTTGCACCCACCAACAAAGCTCCAAAAAATGCAAGACAGAAAACCTACAGATTAAAAGAAGAAAGAAACAATGTCACAATAATCTTGGAAATGCCAACACACCTTTTTCAATAGGCTACAGAAGACTGAACACTAACAGGTTGAAAATGACATATACAGAAAAGTGCACCCAATGACAAACTTCATGTTCTTTGCAAACTTGGAATGTTTAACAGAACTGAGTATGTGCTACCCCATAAAAGGGCCTATGTTTTCTGATGATGTTCCCGATTGGGTTCTTTGAGCTGCGATCTCTGAGGGGATTTGTGTAAATTAGGGTATGTCCTTGTGATGGGCCCTGTGGAAGGGGAGGGGAAAAAAACAGATGCTTCTGACAACTATGGATACTTCCTTCAACCTTAAAAGGGGACCTGAATTGTTTCATTCGAATTTTCAATTTATTTGTGCTAGAAACTGCAAAGTTAGAAAAAAGATAATAAAATTTAAGTTTTTTCAAAGGTTCCTCAGCATTTCCAAATGTAACCATTTTAAATTAAAACTTGATTATGATATGTAATAAATGCCAGTGACTAGTGTTCTTAATTTGAAATAGATTTAGACTCCTTGAATTTCTATCATACATTCCACGATTAAAGAAAGATAGCAATATACGTCTATGTGTACATATAATTTTGACACATGCATAATACAGTCTTTGTTTATATAAAAGAGTAAATTTTAAAAATTATGTCTTGACTTTTAAGAATTTTACATTTCTAATAATTACTTTCTTTCTGAATACTTTGCTGTAGGTCATTTATACCATCCAAATTAACAGGAAAACATACACTCTCCATCTTGAAAAACAGTAAGTGGCCATTCTTTTATTCATACAGTTGTTTCTGGTTTCTTAAATTAGTACAGTCACTCCCCTAAATTGAGACTAAACAAAAGCATGAATATTACATTTATTTCACGTTATATCTTCTTCCTGATTCATGTCAGATGAGAATTTCATTCTTGCTTTTGAGATTTGAAATTTAACTTTCAAGCCAAATTCTGACTTAATGATGTAAATATTGAGGTATTTTAGATAGATTAAAACTACTCTGCATAACTCCTTAAAATGTAATCACAATTGCAACAAGGAAGGGAATAGTTTTATTTGACTATGTTTAGCTTTGTTTGTCCTCATGTTATTTCATATATTTAAATTATTTTAAGCATTTTACTTGATAGTCTATAATATTTTTCTCACTTTGCTATAGTATTTGTAATGTCTTAAATGCTCAGTTTTCTATCTTCACTCTAGAAGATCAATATTAATAACTTTGTGCGTATCTTTTCCCAATTTTCCAGTTAAATTTCACCCTTCTTTTAAATAAAACCTACCCCAAATTTTGTTTTTACAAAAATGGGTGTTGCAACTGACAGGTCTTATTAAATAATGGTGCTTGTTTTCTTGCTCTTTGTATATGTTGTAACTCATCCTTTAATAGATAACATTCCACAGTGTGTAATATTGATAGGTAATGAGGTTCTCTCCAAGGATTGTCACTATTGAGTCCTGCAATGAACATGCTTGTATGTATATTTTTTATGTAATATAGATTTTGTTTTGTAGCCTTGATATCAAGAAATAGGTTTCTGGATCAAGAAGTATGAATAATGTAATAGTGATAATAATAAAAAACAACAAAAGTAATTGACATTTATTGAACACATACCATTTGCTGGGCATATTTCTAAGCAATTTGCATGTAGTCACTGATTTAATACTCACATTTTGTAGTATATTAAGATTTTGAGAGACATTCCCAGTGTCTTTCTGAAAAGATGGTAGCAATTTAGATTTCCAAAAGCCTGCATGATGTGCTAAAATATTCTGTTTCATCTGAACATCAATTTGTATTTCCCTCAATAATTACTCTAAACATTTATTGGCTATTTGCATTTACCTGTATGAGGCTTGCCTATTCATATAGTTTTCTCATTATTTATTATTTTAATTATACTTTATCTTGTAGAGCAGTTTTAGTTTTACAGCAAAATTGACTGGAATGTACAGAGATTTCCCATATGCTCCCTACCCCCCACATATGTATAGCTTCCCTGTTATCAACAACCCCCATCAAAATGATATATTGTTAAAATTGATAATCCTAAATTGACACATCATTATCGCCCAAAGTCCATAGCTTATATTAGTTCAATATTTTTTATGCTGGCTTTTTTCTTTTGAATGATAAAAAATAAAATGGATAATTCTGAGAATAATTTAAACAGTTAGTGACACACATGTAAGCGTTGTGCCTACACTGTTTTAAAAGAAGTGTATTGTCCATGGCCTGTAATACCGAAATCTGTTATTTGCATAACCAGACCTATTAATCTCTCTCACTCCCCATTGCTAATCACAATTATAATATTGACACATGTTCTTCTGTCATATTTTTATCTTCATTCATTTATATGTCGAGAGAGCAATAAGAATCATGTTTTCAGTATTTCTTAATAGTTGTAAAGACTCAATACTGTATATTCCATCAATTTATTTATCTTAATATGGTGGGCCACAAAAGTGACCCCAACAGTACCTTTTCCTATATCTTCACTCTTTGCCATGTAACTAACTCTGTGTGTGTATCATCAAGAGGTAGGATAAATACGTTTCCTTCAGTCCCTCTACTCTCCAGCCCTTGGATCTGAATTTACGTTTGCAAGGCGAACTTCATGATGTGTGCTCTCACAGGGCCTCATGGTTGGAAGGGCCCTGCGCTTGGTTTAATGCTCTGCTGTTGCTGTCCTGAGATTCTTAGTAGTTTTGGGCAAGAGACCTCGCATCTTTATTTTACCTGGGGGTCTCACAAATTGTGTAGCCCATTTTGTGGCTATGTGACTTCTTTGGCCAAAAAGATATTACCTGTCTTGATTCAAACAGAGGCTTGAAAAAGCTCTCATGCTTTTCTGCCTTCTACCTTGTTTGTTTATATCTTGTATGAGAATATGCTTAGGCCAGCTTGCTGAAAGATAGATACATGTGGAGTACACCCAAGGTGCTCTAATCATTCCTAAATAGGGCAACATTCAGCTAAATCCAGGACCATTGATCAAGCCTAGTCAATCAGCAGAACTACCATGGCTACCCACATGTGACCCAGAAGTGTGAGCAATAGATACTTATTAGTCTGTTGTATGTGGTTGTGGTTTGGTGGTTGTTTTTAATGCAACACTTTGCATAATGTTATTTTTTTGAGATTCATATTGCTGTGTGCAAAATAAATTTTTTAAATACATATGCAGCCATCAAATGAATATATCTCACTTATTAATTATCCACCCATGTTTATAGCAAGGAAAGCTGATATCCCTGGCCACAACTGCCTGGGCACCAGTGACACTGATGGGTTATATGTAAGAAAATTCTTATGTGCCATATATATATATAGCAAATTTTTTACTTCAAAGGGTTATACCAGTTTTCACTCACACCAGCAATCCAAAAGGTTTTCTGTACTCTACACTGCGAACAAAATGAGTATCTTTACTCATTTATTTTGCTAACTAATGGGTGAGAAATGCTATTTTATTGTTGTTTTGATATGCACTTCACTGGTTATTAATAACTTATAGTATCTTTTCAGATGTTTCCCAACCGTTCTAACTGAATTGCCTCTCCCAAGATTTTGTTTTTTCTTTTGGATTTTTATTTTTATTCATTTGCCTTGTGTATTTATTTTCAGTCTGTGGCTCATCATTCTGCTTTTTTTCTTCTACTATGATCAGTTTTTGGGAACTTGTGTTTACTATAGGTATTAACCCTTTATCTGTTCTGTATGTTGCAAATATGCCATCCAGCCTAATGCTTGTGTTCTTCCTTTATTTGTGGGATGTATTGCTATAAAAATGAAATTTTTATATAATCATTATATTCATATTTTCCTTTCTAGGTCCTCAGATTCCTCCCTTTTGCCTCTCACATTCACTATAAGAGTACTATAATATTCCTGTAGTATTTTTAAAATTCTATTTACATTTAAGATGCCAATCCAGTGCTTTCTGTTACTTAAATGTCTTGCATTAGTCCAGTTTTATCACTGCTTCATTTTTTTTTCTTTTATTGCAATTTTATGCTGACTCAAGGAATGTTTAATTAGAACACTTTCACATTATATGCTTTAGATAGAATATGCAGATGGAAAGCTTTCTGAATCTGCATATCTGCAAAGGTCTCTTGTTTTCCTCGTTGACTAACATCTTTGCACTGTGTAGTATTTGTGAGACATATTCCTTTGCTATAAATTTTTATAATTTGATATAGTCCATTGTAAGTGAATTTTCCAGTATGTTCTCTCTGTATGTGGTGTTATATTAATCCTCCCTGATATATCATAAGTTCCTTGATTTTTTAATTTTATTTTTAAGTCCCTACACATTACTTACTCCACGGAAAATCTGTGGTTTCTTCCTGGGTCATTTTGTTCTGCCCTGTATATCATAGTTTTTTCTATAACTGTTTCAAAATCTTTGTTTTTGCTGTGTATTTTACCAGGATCTGTTCTCTTTATTGGCTGGGCCTCTTGTCTATTCTCAGTAACCAAATTCTCTTTGGTGCATTTATTAAATTAGTCAACTTTGCCTGTCATGTATTTTAGAGTCAGAGTGTTCTTTTTTTTTCCTTCAACTGATATTCTTTGACAGCTTGTTAACGTTTCTTGAAAATATGATTATTTTCTTCAATTCATGCTACTTCATTAGGAACTAACTTTCAAGTGTTGCTTTCTTCTGTTTTGTTGTTCATTTCCTTACAATGGGTCTCATTTTTCTTTGAATGGTCGTTTGTGTCTTTATTTCTTCACTGATTAAGCTGGACTGTTTTGTTGTTTGACGTAGAAGCAAAAAGTATATTTTGAGGGCCCAGGGTGAAGAAACTTGCAAACTAAAGCTTTATCCTTTTAATTATGTTTGTAAGATATCTGTTAAGTTTTTCCCCTCTGATTTCTTTTTCCTGGGGACTGCTTGGATTCCCATTTCCACCACCTCCGTGGAGATGCCTACAGATATTAACATGGCACTCTGCCTTGACCCAGAGTTCATGCTCCAGGCACTTGCACCTGAACCAGCCCAGGCCATTCAGTTTTTCCTTAAGTGTGTGTGTGTGAACTGATAAATATCTGTCTTTCTTGGGGGAAGCTCTCTAGTTCTGTTATTTAAATGGAGGAAAAGGAAAAGTTATCAGGAATGAGAGATAATGAAGCAGATACAGAAAGAGAACTCCTGGTGACAGAAAGTATGATGTGACTGCTTTAGTCTCTTTGGATTCTGGCCTTGAAATGCCTTTTGGTGTTTGGAATCCTTGAGAAATTCCAGTCTCCCTACAATAAATAATGCTGTTAGATTGTTCCATGATCATCACTTTTTTCCTGGTAAGAAGATTAAACTTCTGTTTATATTGGTTGGTCTACAGGGATCCTTTAGGTTAGCTTAGGAAATGTGAGCAGAACACTAGTATCCC